ATATTATTAATTTATTATTATAATCACAATTATAAACTTATTATTATCATCATCCCCACAATTAGTATCACGTTACCACAATTTATTGTTATCATCATTATTACCACAAAAAAAATTTTCATTATTAATTATTTATTATAATAATATTAAATAGTAATAATTATTTTTTTATCCGAATTAGTCTTATTGTTATAATTCTTCTTATAATATTATTAATTTATTATTATAATCACAATTATAAACTTATTATTATCACCACAATTAGTATCACATTACCACAATTTATTATCATTATTATTACCATAATAATGATAATTATGAATTATTTATTAAAATAATAAATTTAAATAGTAATAATTACTATTTTTATTTTCATCTGCATTATTCTTATTGTTACTATTATTATATATTTTTAATTTATGATTATAATCACAATTATAACCTTATTACTGTCATCATCGCCACAATTGGTATCACGTTACCCCAATTTATTATTACTGTCATTATTGCAATAGTAACAATCATTATTAATTATTTCTTATAATTAGAAATTGTAAATATTATTGTTATTGTTATTGTTATTGTTAATAATAATAATAATAATAATAATAATAATAATAATAATAATAATAATAATAACAATAATAATAATACCACAATTTATTATTATTATAATTATTACCACAATAATAATGATCATTATTTTAGTTAGAGATATTTAATAATTATAAGTATTATTATTAATATTATCATCATAATCATCGTCATCATCATTACTCTTATTGTTATCATTCTTCTTGTAATATTATTAATTTATTATTATAATCACAATTATAAACTTATTAGTATAATCATCCCCACAATTAGTATCACATTACCACAATTTATTATTACTGTCATTATTGCAATAGTAATGATCATTATTAATTATTTCTTATAATTAGAAATTGTAAATATTATTATTAATAATAACAATGACAATGACAATGACAATAACAATAACAATAACAATAACAACAACAACAACAACAACAACAACAATAATAATAATAATAATAATAATAATAATAATAATAATAATAATAATAATAATAATAATAATAATAATAATAA